CTTTGGTAGAATACGATCAAGTAGCTCAAACTTCCCTGAAGCCCGATATAGTTCTGCTCTGTTGAAGAGAAAAAACACTGTAAATGCCCCAATGAGCCTGCATTTAGAAGAGTTTTTATTCGTTATTATGTCAGAGTATAAATACAGGGAGATTGACTTACTTAAGGGAAACAAGACTAATAGCACTTTTCTCTCTTTAAAATTGTTTATGTTCATTAAAATAAGAAGATAACAACCCACATGAGTTATTTGTGCATAACTACTTGTTAGAAATAATTATTTTTAATATAGAAACCCTGTGGACTCTGAATCACACAGAATACCTCCCTTTACAAAAATTGGTACTCTTTTTGGCCGTTGGCCATTCTGTGATTCTGCTTCACTATTTATGAAAACAAGCATTATTGCTGAAGTAGATAAGCATTTTATCAGTTAAGCAAAACCAGCAGGTGAATGTCTTTCAAACGATGTTTACTGCAGCAGTAAGTTGTATTCATCAGGTACATGTTAAAATCAACGCCCTTTCCATTCAACAATTATGCATGAAAGTGAATTATTCAAAACTGGGCCAATACACAGAGATAATGGGATAAGTTTGACCGGGGATGTACTCTATAATCACATATACTTAGCCGTCCAGCACTATATGTAGCCAGTCTGATTACACTCTTCTCTCTTCTGTGCTGTGAATAGCAAATCATACTCATAGCACGTAGGTTTAAGCCATAATTGAGAAAAATAATAAGAGTAACAAGGATGACTAAGTCAGCATGATAGTTATATGCTTTAGAAAAATAAGTTTCACATAACTTTTCTCTAATCCCGACTCTACCACAAAAATATAATTTTTCATTAGAAACTGTATACTTGGTCCAAAAGATAGTTGGCCTTCTGATAAGCATACACAAGTGCTCAGGAACTGGCAAAACTGTTTTAGACATAGATGGTCCGGTACACCAGTAAGGAAAAAAAAAAAAAATAAAAGCATCATTAACATTTCAACAAGAAGGGATTAGGTGGAAGATACATACAGCCTTTCCATCCCTTGTTCAAGCTAGAAAGAATTTATTTCTAGGCAGTTGTACAAAGCAGTGCCAAGAACAAATTTAAGTCTGTTTCTATTTTTACGGTATCTATGTTGCTTTAAAAAAAAGGGGGAAAGGAATACATCAGTTAACCATATTCTTTGTCTGTTCTGGTTAGGGAGACAGAAAGTCATGAAAGCTTCATATAACATTTTTAGTGCTGGTATCTCTTACTTCAGGTGTGTGTCCTGTGCCTCCTCTGCTTTCCTATAAAAGCACATAAAGGATAAAGTGATTGGCATTCTCCTCAAGTTTATCACAGACTAAAGCCCACAGTGCTGAGAAATGCTGGGACAAGATGGCATAATATAAGGCTGTAATTTGCCTCTGATCGGCAAGTAATCTAGATACGAGTACTCTTTAGACTTTTAAATGTCCTGCCATTACAGCCTCTCATGCTGAGAACCTCTGATAGTGGGGAGAATGCTCAGGTAGACATCCTGATTCCAACCAGTTTCTACCGAAAATCTGAAAAATCTCCTTTGATAAAAGAAAGGGAGTTTGTCTATGCACATCAAGAGCTAAGAACAGTCTTGACCTTGAACAGACAGAAGGAAGGAGGCAAATATTTTTATAAAGAATTGAGAATGATATACGCACTTCGATTCAGGCTGGAAGAAAATATTCTTTTCTTATTCAGAATCAGAAAATATCAGAACATTCTGCTAACTGAAATACTTTCTGAAACTTCAAAAGCAATGCGTTTCTATGTGAGACTGATCCTTAAAAAATGGACAAGGTAGATGCAGAATAAGGCAGTAAAACGTGGATGTGCATAAGCTAATCATGGAAGACTTCCTCTAAAACACTCATCTCCCTTTAGCCGATGCTATCCTGACAAGGTAGCCCCTTCTATGTTTGTATAAATTGGATGGTGCTGGTGTTTCCGGTAGTAGCAGTGTTCTGTCCTTTTTTCTTGGGATCTAATGTTAACTTTGAAGAAGTGCTTCTCACATAAAATTTTACATTTGTGTCTCGCAATGTGTGCATTTTGGCAAACATCACAACAGCGAGCATTCAATTCTCGCGAGGAAAAAAGAAAAGAAACACCTGCTTCATCCATCTTTTAGAGCCTGAGATTCAGAAGGTGACCTCCTAATTCCCCTTTAACCTAATATAATAGGAATTAGATAAATTAACTAATATAATGAACATATGAGCATCAAACTTTTGTCAATTTTTGGACTGAACAAAAGAGAAGTTGGCACGTGGGAAATCCACCACAACAGAGTCTTGCACAGGAAAAATCACAATAGTATAGCTAGATATAATCAGCTAACACAAACAGCTATGCAGAAGGAGCAAGAAGACTTTGGAAGGCTTTCAAGTTGACTTTTACGTTTTTTCTCATTGGTCTGGATTAGCATAAGGATGGAAGAGGATAAAAGCACAATTAATTGTACAGAAACTACTATGAGAACTTCAAATCTCATGTTTCAAGCATATGGGAGTTTTCAGAAGGACCTTTACACATACTCTTATAGACTTTTTTAAGGTCTATACCTTAGGAAAAAAGTAGATGTTAAAAGAACCTGTGAACAAATGACAGAGGACTTGTTACCAGGAGATCTTAAAATTCAGTCATTGTTCATGAAGATAACTGACATTACTACATTACTTTGAACTATTAAGAACTGGATATAAATATACATTGACGTTTCTGCTTAAGCATATTAGTCACTGTTGATAACGTTTCATCTTGTTGTAACAAGTTGCTGGAGTAAATAAATACGTATTTGTGCTAAAAGTTACCTCAAAACTATTAAATAAGCAGAAGATTATTAATAGTTTACCAGTAAACAAATAATTTGGTTATGACCGTGTTTATTTAAATTACTCACAAACTAGGGAAATTTACAGGTGAACCGGTATCTTTAACAGAAAGCGTGATACGAAAACATTCCTCCACGTCATGACAACACCATATTAAGGCTTGCTGGAAAACAGTCCTAATTGAGTATTTTCACAAAAGTTCTGAGAACAAAGGAATTTAAAAGGTTCCACTAGAGAACGTTTGCTAGCACTTCATGAATTTGGACAGTAATAAAGGGAAAGAAGGGATGAAGGAAAATTGGAAATGGTAAAGAATGACAGTAAAGAAATACAGAAATGAAAACACCAAGAACCTCTGCAGTGAAGGCTGGATAACGTCCTGTAGTTTGGCAAAGGTGTTAAACTTCTCCCTAATCTAGCATAGATTGGTGTACTTTTAGCAATAAATCAGTATTTAAAAATAATACACCTGTACATGACTTCTATAATTTATCTTTACGTGGTGGGAAGAGACGAAGAAAAAGGCTTTTGCCACAGTAACGGAAAAGCTTTCTCCAGTACCAGAAATACTTCTTTCATGTTCAACTCAATTCCAAGAATTCTGTGAAAGAAAGTATCCTATGTACAAATCACTAGTTTGATGTTGATGAAAATCACTCAGAATCCATCTTCTTACGTTCTCCTAATCATTATCTGCTTTAGCTGAATGCTTTTCTTTAAGATGCAAGACTCCTTCACATCAGTCAGAGAAACAGCTTTCCTGCTCAGAAATTAGCGATGCAACACAGATCCAGCATCATTCAGAAGGAGAATCCAGATGCTCCTCATTAACCCCATGGATAATAACAATATTAAGTTGCTAATTCAGAGGAAATATCTGTTCAAGTAAGAGGCACCCTCTTAGACTGGAGGACTATAGCAATAGCTTTACATTGATCAGGCTCTTTTTAAAGCATAGCATTGCTATGACTGATTACATGTATTTTAGAAATCACTTAAATTTGGTAGCATATATCTTCTAGAAACAGGAGGTGATACAGCAGTTTCAACAGAACAGGAAGAAAAATAAGAAGAGTTACCCATTGATGACACCATTTGAGTAGCCTAGGTGTTCAGCAAAGGACTCCTGTAGAGTTATAAACAATAAATGAATTATTGGAGGCTACACAGTGGCCAACAATCATGCATCCTTTCATCAACTAAATACATGAACGTTGAGGTTTCAGTTCCATTACACACATATCTTTGGAATCTGCCTTATAGCAGTAGTGCTCTGCTTAACTTTTCCTTGTACTGTTATTACTTGAAATTCTTTGTTTACAGGAGTAACTTCTCTCAGCCTGCATTCTACTAGATAAAAATATTGTAGATCCTAATTAATTTATACTAATTGCTGGAAAATCCATTTGCAAGTTACTGAATTTCATGAATTAACATATAACAGAACTAACAAAAACTACAATGATAATAAATCATAGGAGGTACTTGTCCATTTATTCATGAACTGTAGCTACATTTTATACATTTATGATACATTTCTAGACACTTTAATATATTTATAAACTTTGAGTTCTAATGAGAAATGCCACACAGATAGTGCACTTTTGCTAAAAATAAATAAATAAATAAGTAAATAAAAAGTAGATACTCTAAAAGATCAGCAGTCTGCTACTATCCAGCATTTTGAAATAACATCTCTGTTTCATATATTAGGTTTAAGTACAGAGGTTTACAACTACCAACAGGCAGTAGAAAGTTGCTCTGGAATAACTTGAATCTGAAAAGCTTCTCTTTCTAAAGATAGTGCCTCCAAAAGAATAAGCACTTTAAAAATAAACTGCAGATTGACAATAAAAATCTTGTGGCAACTGATTTCCTCCCTAATATAATGGACTGGAATGAGTGCATTTTTCAAATGTATCCTTTCCAGTACAAATGATATGGACAGAGATGTTCCCCCTCAAATACATACACTACAACATTAGTTTTCTATTACGTTAGCCATTTGAAAAAGAAAGATTCTTACAATTAAAAATGGCAGCCTTACCTCAATGTGCTGAAACATATATGGGTGGTTGCATATCTTTCTCAATTGCATGATAGTGTTCATAAGAGTCTTTGCCCCACCTTTCCCCTATGGGAATAAACAATGCAAATCCAGTGAATTTGTTTTCCTAGTTTTGAAACTTTTGAAAGACATTTTTTAATGAAGGCATAAAAATACTTCTGCGACAAACCTGAACACCAGAAGCTGAAAAATATAGTGCAATTATCTTGCTGTACAATTTCACCTATTGTAAGGATGATCCATAAAGAAAAAGAACATGAAGACCTGCAAGTAATTTGCTAAGTGCAAGGTATCTCATATCTATCTATTGCAATCACACTGGGAGGAAGCGCAACTACTGCCCTGCTTACTGCACATTTATACAGCTTAGTATGAAGCCATACAAATTACATTGGGTCTGAATACCCCTAGCAAGGAATGGTACTTGCCAGATGCCTTTCAACTCTCCACTATCTTCTCCTGCCAGTAAACTGAATGTATGGGTTTCTCTTTCCAGAACAGGTAAAATACAGGGCTCTAGGCAGCTAGAAATGACCACACTCTATGAGTCATCTTCATATCTAACAAAGAATAATCTCAAAGCCTGCCCTACAGTGAATTTGATTTGGAAGCGCAATAGATTTCAGACAATAGTCAATTCAGACATAATAAGCTATGCTATCTTAAAAATAATAAACATTACTAGGTGTTTGACAAGTGTTTGTCAAAGTTAATATGATATGGTGTTACCAAACCTGAATCTAGCAACAGTAATTAGATTGTAACTATACAGCTTAGTCTCTTTCAGGTGCCATTTTGACTTCCTGTAACTTTAGGACACTGTAGTTAGAGTGGCTGCAGTTTTCCAAGCTTACGGTACTGGACTCATTCAGATTTATTTTTAAAATCTCAGCCAATACGATTCAGCAATTTCTAAGAGTAAAACTAGGGAAAAGTACACTACCTGATCATATTACATGCTAGCAATATTTTACTATTCTCTGCAAAGTACTGTCAAATCTTAACTTCTAGAGCAGGCTGCTTACATTTGAAGGGGAGAGTCTACACATCTAAATCTTGCTATTCTTTTCAAAATCCCCTCCAATACACTCCAAAATGCAGTTAGCATTTGCTCAAGAGAGAATTCCTAGAGCTCTGCACCTTACTAAATTCTCACTAGTCCGAGCTGGTTCCAGGCCAGAGTTGCGGAATGACACAACTTTTTTCTAAGACCTGCACAGTTGCAGCCAAAAGTTCTCAGCAACCACTAACCACCACCACACCCCCCCCCCGCTGGCACCAGGTAGCATGGATAAGAGAGCCTGATGAAGTAGATACAGAAAATAATAAAGCCTGAAAGAAGGGGGAAAGATGGAAAAAATTTTAGACCTCTAGTGGGAGGAGGGAGGTGTTCTGAAGACAGCAGACAATTAGGTCTGATTAAGTAAAAATCTGCGTGGAGGAACAAGTTAAGAAAAAAAAGGAGAGACGATTCTGACTGGTCAGTGAGAAGAAAGAGAACAGACAGGGAGACAAGCAGAAGACTGAGATGCACAATGAAATCTGGAGGGCAAAAGGAAGCACAGTAAACTACAAAATTACGTTAAAAGCATAACAAAAGAACAGAAATTTATGTTTACAAAGTACTCAAACTACAGAGATGAGTGTGAGAGAATATCTGATGAGAAAAATACTAGCTTTGACCAGAGTCTGAATAATCAATCACAGAAAAAACACTTGACTGCACAAAATAAAGAAGTTAAAAAAGGGTAACATTCTGCATGGGAAATGCCACCCATTGTACCAAATCAATACACAACAGGATGCTGCAAAAACAGTTTGTGATTATGTTGTATCATTCATACAAACATAATGGAGCCATATTTTAAGGGCCTAGCACAAAGACAAGCTGTTACACATCAGCTGTTCTGTCGTGCCTGTGTGTTCTTACTCTCATGGTGAATTCAGGCTACCTCACAGTTATTGCAATGCTAAATGCGTATGCACAAATAAGCTGATGAATGGCAACTTGTTTTCTTTACATTAACTTAATCAAGTACCAATGTCCCACGCTGGTATAATCAACATTTACTTTGGCATACTCTAACATGTGACTAACTGACTTTGAATGTTATTGTTCTTTAATAAAACCTTTTTATTAGCAGATCTTACAAGGATGTATGAAGGCAGGCAAAACACCTCAGCTGGCTGAAACAAGATTTGTACTTAACTAATAACTCTGAAAGACAAGATGAGCAACCTGCATTAGACAGTGCTGCCACATCACAATTACTCAAGTTCCTGAACAGATTAAACTCAGGTAAGAGAAATGTTGCTTTTTCAAGCATTGTTTTTTCTCAGAAATGCATTGTAACTACAGTGAATACAAGTAATACATTTTTTTGGTGAATACACAGTGAATACACAGCACAAATTGCTGTTTTTTTAAAACAAAAGCATATCTGATAGAGGAGATTTCTTTTCCCATGAGAGAGATCTGCAGTAAGAACCTAAATATTAATTTTATAAAACTGAAGTCATACAGTTAACATTTAATCATATCGTATTGTTTCCGAGGTGTTCTAGTCCTCCCTTTTTACCTTCTTGTCTTTCTCAGAACCATCTGTAAGAAGGATTCCCTTGGCTTGCATGTGACGGTACAGGATCTTCTGAAGAGCTGACATATCGCATTTGATGACATATTCCACCTAGTGTAAAAAACAATACATAAACAAACTGTAAAATTTTGCCATGATATAATAATGTTAGTAGACTCTAACTGTAAGTTCTTTCCATCCAACGACAGTAAACAAAAAGCTATGCATCTTTTATCTGTATCCTAACAGCAGCTTTGATTTCTGTGAGCAGCAATACAGCAAGCACAGCAATGGGTAGCTCAAAACATTACCTATGAGATTCACAGTTACTACAAAACATGACTGCAGATTCAGTGCTGTTTTGCAACATACAAATATATTTTTTTAATTTCTTTCTGTAATTTTAACAAAATATTTTCTTTTTATGTTTAATTGAAATGCTTAATATGTCATTAAAAAAAATCTCTGAACGTTTAATAACCTGTGAACTCTTATTATGCTTGCAAAACATTATAAGAACATCAGTCATCACTGTATAGTTTGCACAAAACAAATAAGCATCCTTTACAGAGCCTAATTAGTATTTCACATAAGTTGGGATGGAAAAACGCTGTTTTCTGCATATCAACTAGAAATAAGGGGAATTAATGAAGTGGTGTGTGATCCCCAATGCAGTTCATCTTCTTGCTCAGTTTTGTAAAATTATACTTGTTACTGCAGGTTTTTACTGCACACCATCCTTAAATCCAGTAACACATAGATTTCATACTCCAATTTAATACATCTTTTTCTATTACCCAATTTCCAGATTACAGTAACTAGGTCTTTACTAACTAAAGTAAAATAATAACGTAATAAAGATAGACTAATAGCGAGAAATCTTGCCAGCAGTTACTACAAGAAACTGCCTCATGTTTAATAAACAAACTGAAAAAAAAAAGATCAGGTTATTTTCTACACAGAAAGACAGGAGGATGACCAGAGATAAGAGAAGTGAGCATTAATTTAATGGCTTATCAGGACTTTTCAGGTCAGATTGAACTGATTAACAGGCTTGGGTCAACATGTACATACTCTAGTTTGGACTAATATTTTTTTTCTAAGCAAGATACAGAAATGAATGAAACATGGTCCACTAAATAACAGTGTGTATGCAACTGGTAAATCCTTTTCCTCCAATATCTATTAATATATTTATGAAATAGAGTGTCTCCAGTTGGCAGAAATCTGAATAGCAATAAACATTTCAGCAATTTTTACATATTTAAATATGTTTCATTCCCAAATCAGTGCTGTATAGGAGGGTACCAGGAATTTGACCTTTGAAGAAAACAGAAAGCCACAACAGTAATAAGGTTCACAACATAAAGATGAGAATGACCTTTAATAACTAAATCTATCCTTTAGATACTGTCATTGAGCATTTGTACAAAGAGCTCTTTGTTCATTCAGCCAGTGCTAGTCAACTCATAACAAACTCATAACAATTTCATTTTTGGAATGGTTTTAAACTAGTCGACTTAAGCACCAAACAGTTCCCAACCTGCCTTCAGATTTACTTTTTGATTTAGTTGCTGCTGTTTTTTTGGGAAGGGTGAAAGGAAAAGGAGATGTGGGTTTGCAGTAGCAGATGGACTGGGGCATGATGAATTGCCCAGTGATTAAAAGCAGTGATCTTTCAAATCAGAGATGAATTTTAGATTCTGAGATGCAGCCAGTAGTTAAAAAAAATATGGAGAGAATTTCAATAAAACACTTCATATAACTCAAAAATCCTAGAATGTTAACCTAGGACCAAATTCTGTTTGCTTTATAACATCAAGTAGTCCTTTTGGAGTTTCCATGAAACAATTCAGGTGCCAAAGGTTCTACTCAGCACAAGCAGGAGAGGCAAAATCAAATCCTCTATGTATGGCCAACCCAGTTACTTCTCAAAAACAAACACTAAGGAAATAAGCTGCATTTCTTACATAAACCATGGATGACAACAAACAAAATCAAAAGCTGTAGGACTGAAGAGGGAGTCTGAGACTGCAGAAACTTCAGGTCTTCACAGCGTTCCTTACCAGTCAGAAGAAGAAATATCACAATATGCTTACAAAAATAAGTACTAAACCCCTTCCACAACTCCTCTTATTGCAAACCTTTTCTGGCAGCTGAGACTCGACCTCTTTCTTCAATCTTCTCAGCAAGAAGGGTCGAAGCACTTTGTGGAGACGACGGATGATCAGAATAGTCTCTTCCTCATTTAAGTCCACCTACAGAAGTTACAAGACAACTCAGTGCATTATGTAACGTCTAGCCTCTTATAGAAGATAAGTATTTACAGTAATTACTTGTATGTTACAACCAAACCGATTCAGAGCCGAGAAAGAGACAAACTTCATAGACATTATAAAAGGTAGCTTTTAGTTATGTTAATTTTCTAAGCACAAGGGAGAGTTCAAACAGTACTCCTTCAGTGTAAACTCTTTTTTGCTTTTCAGAGTGTTTTTTTTTTCCTGATGTTTTAAGAAAACTGCCATAGTACCCTTTCTCCAGTCATGGCAAACGGAGCGTTGAACCACTGTTCAAATGTGCTACAGCTCTTGAAAATGGTTGGAAGGAGGAAGTTGAGAAGAGCCCAAAGTTCAGGCAGTTTGTTCTGCAAAGGAGTCCCAGTCAGCAGTATCCGCCTAGGGGCCACATAGTGCGTGTTTAAGACCTGAGTCAGCTTGCAGTGATGGTTCTTCATTCGATGGCCTTCATCTACTATCATGTATTTCCATCGAATCTGTAAGAGGAAGAAAAGTTGGTAAAGTTTGAGCAGGACAGACTTGGATTACTCCCAACACATTTAAAACAGGAACATCTCAAACCCAAAACATCTGTCATTCTCATTTATGACTAAAGTCAAATTAGGCAGTATCCAAGTATCAGTGGCCTCACAAGCAAAAAATAGGAATAAAAATAGGTATGCTGAATCTGCAACTTGACTTGCAACAGCAAACAGCTGATTCCTCCCATTTTTGGAGAGGAGTTCAGGTGATTGGCTCTTCAAGGCCAGAATATATTTTACTGGGGAAGAAAAAGAGCAGAAGTAACTCCAAATAAACCTGTCTGAAACAAGAACATAGATAACAGGCAGCAGCATTTTCTCACAAAATAACTATGGTCTCAAAACGCGGCAACCCTGGATTTTGCTGTGTTTCAGCTAATCTCTACCTTTTATCTCAAGAATGAAGAATTAAGATCAACTCAGGGCATCCTGTTGTATAAAGTTTCCAGGTCTTAATGTGACAGTTTAAACATGGTCAGGGTAGATGCTGAAAGAAAGTTCTCCAAGTTCTCTATCACTTTCTATAGTATGACACAGACAGTTAACATATGTGCCACTGGATGAACTGTATGGGTCACTGCTTGAGTGCAAGTTCCATAGCTTCTTGTTTTCACACACTTGATGTCAGCTGTTTCTGCTTTAAGAGCATACGCTGCCTCACAATCTTCTTTGCAAGAAGGCTGTCAAGCTTACAGGTGTGAAGCTTTCCGCACCTCTTGCTGCTTTATACGTTCTCTCACTGAGACACTCAAGGCTGGCAAAGCGGACCAGATAAACAGCAGATAAGCATGTGTAACCTAATCAAAACAATATTTCCCTCCCTTGGATGTTAGGCAGATATATGAACCCCAGGCAATGTGACTTAAGTATGTAAGTCAATCCACATGCCAAGATCATACCCTTCTATACCCAGTTAACAAATCTGTTGCAGTTATGTGAAACATTTCAGTCATGTGATGGGGTATGCATATGCATCCGCAGCACCATAATAAGGCTATGACACACCGACTATATGACTTGGAAGACCTCAGTTTGTAGTCTTCAAGTACTTTCACAGATGCTAACTAATGCCACTTTCAAGACAGGTTGGATGGCGCACTGCTGTTTGCTCCTACCTTTTAGCTAGGCTGAGCAAAAACTAGAAGGAAAGGAAAACTCTACAGTCTCAAACTGTTCTCAAGCATTCAGAATCATGCCAGTAAAATGTATTCATGCCTTTAAATGTCTTTGTATCACAGAGGGAAAAAAAGAGAAATCTAAACATGTAATCGAATTAAAAGAAGTGAAAATGAAAACAAAGAGACAGTAAGACCACACAGTTTCTCAGAACAGCAAAACACCTGCTTGGTCTGCTCTCTGCTTATATGAAACAGTATGAAATATATATGAAGCACACTACTGGAGAGTTTTCAAATCAGTTTTCAATATCTGAGGCACCACTATTTGCTGCTCAGATTGTGAGTCCTTCAAAACCGGGTCCTGTGTAGTAAAGTGGGATACCAAATTCATGACATATGCAACTATTTAGCCACTTGGGAAAAAAACATAGAGCTGGAGAGGCTCTAATAAAATTGAGCTTCAGGTCAGAAACAGAATGAAAGAAAACTTAGGGTCAGGACTGTAGATAAGGACAAATGTCATTATGCGGTAGGCAAAAAAATTCCATTTTTCCAAAGGCAAAGGGGTTCTAGAGTACTGATAAAATTCCACAGCAAAAGGAGTTAGTTTCCTAGCCGTATTCTGGTGTCTTCAGGGAGAAAAGCAGTGACTGATAAGTCCAATTATAAACAGAGGAATGGGAAAGTACATGAAAGGCCTAACTTTCATAGGAAGACAAAACAATAACACAGAACTACTCTGTAAAACAGAAATATGTATTTGGTGCTCTCATTATTTGATGGTATCTCGAAGGTCTTGCTGCTAAGAGAGGGAGGACATTCATTACCTTAGCAAGAATATGTTTGTCCTTTATTATGTACTCATAAGTAGTTAAAAGAACGTTAAATTTTCCACTTCGAAGCTGAGGAACAAGTGAGCGGCGCATTGCAGGTGTACCCTAAAAGACAGAGAAAAGAATGAAATAAAATAGATACGCATATCTTTACAATCATGAATGTGCAGACACAGAGGAAGCACATGAACCTGCAGTCCTACAGCACCATATCCTACATGTTGATAAACACCAGAGTGATTTCCCCAGCCGGCTTCTGGACTGTAAAGCTCTTTTTATGTGGGAGTGGAAGCATACAGCCCGTAGTTTAGTCTCCTTAGTGATTACTTGGCCCTGTTAGCACTACAGTAGCCAAAGAGCAAAATATGCAGCTATGTACAAAAGGTGAAGCATTTATCATTTGTGCTACTCTAATCAGAAGCTTTGCAATGTGATAATCAACAGCTTTCATTATGTGATAATTAACAGCACTTCATTATCTGAAAGTAATTACAGTTTATTACAGCCATCATCTTAGGATAACTAACTCTCACTCCTTAGGAATTTGTATGTTTACAAGCAAGCCTGTAGACACAGAGAAAAAGTAGGCTCTATTCTCATTCCTTCCACTTATATAAAAAAGCAAATCAAACCTTGTAAGATATTTTCACCACAGAAGGAGCCCACTTGTCAAATTCATATGTCCAGTTGGATAAAGTCCTACAGAGATTGTTAAGAAAAGGTAATATATTTCATTATTTGCTCAGCATAAACACATTAAATTTTACACATACACCATGTTTCCCAGTGGCTGCTGAATTTTCAATGCATTTCCTGTAATAAACAGTACATTAAAAAGAAGCACTTTACATATTGTAACAAAATATCTGGATGTTCCAGAGGGGAAGAACAGAAAAAAGTGGGAAAAATGTCTTTCACCTCATATTCAGAGGCCTCTTTATAACCAATTCAGAATAGTGCTTTATATAAACACCTTCATATTTTGGAGAGCATTAAGGAGAAGAAAGATAACCCTGCAGAGAGGAGACTTGTATGTTACTTTATGCTATCTATCTCCTGAGGTGGCAACTTTTCAGATACAGCCTCAAGAAGTCTACAACTGAATTCACTTGTGTTCTGCTGTAATGATACGCTATTGCCACCCAGTGCCACTGTGCAGCTTTATTTTGCCAGTGTTGCTTCTGCAGTATGATTACAACGACCATCCACTACTTCTAACTCTAGAGCTCATCACTTGTATCCACACTATGAGGCAGAGCTCTGCTATTTATGTTAGCTAGTCAGTAGCTACCGCAGCAGAGCCAGAAGGCAGGGTACCTCAAAAGAAATTATAATAAACGGCCATGAATAAATTATATCCCAATTGTGCCACGCATCTACATGTTCTGCATAATTGATTGATTAATAAAAGACTAGCAAATGAATTATCTAATTAAAAGGTCAGAGAACTTTCACAGAGATGTAAGACACTTACCAATACAAGCAAAATAAACAAGCTACAAGCAAACAAATAAACAAGAGACAAGCAAATAAACAAACCCGCAAAACCCTGCATCAGTTTTACGTTGCCTGACAGCATCTATTTACAATACAACATTTTAAATAACTAAAATCCACATCCTGCCTTTGGAGAAAGAAAAAGGCATTAAAAAAAAGTGCAAAAGAAGTGGCATCTTGGAATATCAAGGAAAATAAAAAGGAAGTAACATGACAAATAATCATGAGCTGGACAGAGCTCTGAGACCAGGGTGCAACTATCACAGATATTTCTACATCAAGGGCTAATTCCACAGTACTTAAAAGGTTATCCAACATTATTAAAGTACAATTACTTAATGTTTGATGGATGCCTTTAAAAGAACCAAAAAGTAGATTTTTAATATCACACAAAGTTCAGTGGAGAAAAATGCAGGCATGTAACAGGAAAGAAATATGATTACCCTTTTGGGGTTTATGTGTGGACTAAGTAACAGTAAATACATGATGCAGTTTGACAAAAGAATGGTCATTGAAACTAATGGAACTAAGCACTTTTACTAGTCATCCAGTCACCCTTCCAATGCCAGGCAATCAGCTGGGAAGTAAGGATCAAAGAAAATACACACTCATTGTAATCCCACCGTGTGCCTCTCTTGTCATGAAGTGAAAAACAAATGTGTGCTGCTAATAAGCCAATTTGCAATGCTTAGAATGATAATAATAGAACGAGATTCTTTACTTACGAAAGGGGAACAATAATGAGATAGGGGCCATTGAGTCTTTTGTGCTCCATCAGGTAAGTGATGAGTGCAATAGTCTGTATGGTTTTTCCTAGCCCCATTTCATCAGCTAAAATTCCATTCAAATTGTTATTATAGAGTGAAACCATCCATTCTAGTCCCTGGAGCTGAAAAGAAGAAGAATAATTTCAGTTATTTAAAATACACACAAATAATTAATACCACTATGGCAGAAGCAAGCTTCTCATGCCCCTGTCTACTTAGATGCTGGATTTCCTTCAAAAGTGCTACATGCATGGGGATCTGTGCATTCCATAACAACCCCCTACTGCTCCTCTGTCAAAAAAAAATCAACTCCATCCCCCAAAGAAAACACAACAAAGGAATTTCTAATAACAGCTACACGAAAATCACTACTCCTTTTTAGGGGCAGTAGAGCCCATAATATGAAGTCCGATTTTATACATGGAGAAGGGTTCTTCTGTACTGAACACAAACAAACATATGCACTGATACATAAGGCTGCTTAACACTTGGCATTGCAAGAGTCTGTTCTTCAGTTTAAATAGTGCCAGATTTAAAACTTTCAGAATATATTTCATGCCATTTATGTGCATCAACAAAAACCTGCCAAAAAAACCAAACCTTTCAGGACCCTGCAACACATGTAAGCCTCTCACGTTTGCCTCCACCTTACACTCCCCAATTGTGTAATTGGTACCATGAACATCCGTTTTGTATTTGCAGTCATAACTCCATGTGTCACAGAAGGCATCCTCTGTCCAGTTACATCTTGTGTATAAAATCCCAGAGCTGGAAAGAAGTCAGAGTGCTGAAGCCAAGGAATGTGTACATAGCTGGGCTACATACCCAAAGGAGTACGGCTAGAAAGCACACCTCCTCTGTTGCATTTTAGCACTGAGACTACTCCCTTCTAACACAGCTTTCCACATATGTACTTATTAAATCACACATACAAGTACAATCTAGGACACATTTCTGCTTCTAAGATGCAGGTGCTTGGGGTGTCTCATGCATGGAAGGAGAAATAAATTAAGAGTTCAGCTAAGAAGTAGTGAGGGAAACACTGCATGTCTGAAGTAAGCTTCTGCGGCCTGATGACAGAGTACCCAAAACAATATTGTCAATTCTACTGGATTCATGCACATGCTAGCTGTTTTATACTTAGGTACTAAATTCTCTGAAAAACATTTTTATTGATCTCAGGGCACCAAGAGTTGCAGAACTTGTTCTGCAACTGTATGTCCCACTTACCAATTAGCTGTAGAACTGAGAATAAGAAAACCACCCCTTCTCTGTCATCACACTTACTTCGCTGACAAGTACCAACATGAAGGAAAAGATGGCCTGACCAAACTCAACAGTAACAAACACAGAAGGGCAGAAAAAGAGAAGTGGAGAAGGAAAAGGTAGTTTTTTTTCTACACGACAGGGAAGGAAGTCAAAGGGAAAGTCATAGAACAGTCTCCTACAGAACATTCTTGCAAGAACCAAAGCCAAGCCTCAACACTTCTGTCATAAACCTCCTTACAAAAGTGTGCCCCTTATCTCTGGTGGTAGCGTTCGGTTTTACTGATTCAGTTGCTAGAGACTGCACTAAGGAGCAGAAGGACCTGACCAGTTGGTAATCACTGCAACTGTCTGTATAATTCCACAGACCGAATTACTTTGCTTCTTGGTATACTAGGGAAAATGCATTGCAAAAACAAAGACCTGCATGAATTAAGAATATTTCTAGGTTGCAAAAGTTAATTACAGTTTAGAAAGTAAAGGAATCATCATAACCTTAATTTCCTCTCCACGAGCATGTTAAGCCTACACAGCCATCCAATTACTATTGCATCCAGAGGACATTGACTTTATTTAGTGCATTAGCTAAACCTTCCCAGACAATTGAGCTGAGATTATCTAATAAACAAGGCTGCTAACTGCATCTATTGGATCCCTCTTCTTTTGATGCACAAGCTGGACAACGTACTGATGAAGCAGCAAAAATGAAGAGTTGAGAATGTGACATATTTCTCTGAATGACTGAATCCCATCTTGTCTTAACCTCAGAGCTCCTCATTGGTGCCAGAAAAATTATTTCATCTAATATTCTGGAATTGTTCATTGAATGACACATTAACCTTTTTGTTAAGGGCTCAAAGAAAGACACGTAGAAGTGCTAAGGATCCACAACAGAATTCAAACTGAGTTGGAGTTTTGCTATGAACACATAGGATCACAGGACAATTTGTTTTGGAGTTGACCTCAGGAGGTTTCTAGTCCAAACCTGTGCCCAAAGCAGGGTCAGCCACGACGTCAGACCAGGTTGCTCAGGGCTTTATCCAGCTGGGGCTGGAAAACATCCAAGGATGGAGACAGTCGAACCTCTCAGAGTCCCTGAGGCTGTCCTACTGGGGAAAAAGTTTTTCTCTATAACCAGTCTGATCCCTTTTCCTTAAACTTAAGCCCATTGTCTCTTTTTCTTCCACCATGCATCACTGTGAAGAGCCTGATAAAAATATGGAAGTTCTTTGAAAAAGAGAAGTCAGCTTAACAACTGAATTTTAAGTGATTTGAACAAGCTACTGTAATAGAAAGCAGTGCTGTAAGGGCAGCAGAGGCAGGGGCTGTAAATCATAACACTCTGCATGATCAGGAAACACTCCTCCTCCTTCTAGTTCTCTACAAGTACAAATAGACGTGTATCTTCATGTTATCTTGGTGAAAAAGTATTAATCTCTTTTTTTCATGTGGAAATAGAAATAATTTAGTGGCCTGACTGGAGAAAAGATTCTGAAAAGTTGCAGGTCCCAGTGGCTTCCTAGGAAGCTACAGAATAGCAGAAGTGTTGAAAGCAGGTACCAAGGCATTTTCAGTGATGCATGAACTTCACTTAGGTCAGAACACAGAAGTTCTCAGCTGCTAAATCCACTGCATGTCTTTAAAGAGTACAAGATATCAGCCTTCATATCAAAATGTTTTCTTAATTTCTGAATTTTTTTCTGTCAGTGCACTGAAATAATTCAGAATTTTTAATTCAAAAAATAAAATCCTAAAACTTTAAATATTAGAAGAAGAAATATATTATTAAGAAACCCCCACAGATGAAAACAATAAGCAGAATGGAAATACTAGGTCAGTAAGAAAGACAGCATAAACAAAATGCTGTTGGTATGCAATGAAAAAATTGCTACAGGTATACGTAGAAAGTTGATATTACTATTCAAGTGGTATGAATGGAATGCTATTATCAATAACATTATAGATACATATCATCATTTTTTCCATATAATCCCTGATTTCTAACCTAATAGAGACATTGTATTTCTCAAAAATTTTCCAATTTGTTGTTGGTTTTGACATACCATACTGAAGTGACCAGCAAAATCTAAGTTTTAAATTTTTAACATTTAAATAATTTAGCATGCTTTACTCAATGAAAGGCATATTATGCAGGAGCCTAGCATAATTGTACAAGATAGCTCTTCAACAGGCATTTTTTGCAACTTTTGAAGTTAACTCCAACTAGATTTCTCACCTGATAATGTTTTAGTGTGCCATTAATAAGAAGAGAAGACTGCTTCTCCACCCTTTCTGTGATCGCATGAGCAACGGTGTAGTAGGACTGAGACCCTCTGGCACTATATTGCATACTGTATTCATCATCCACGTCTTGTTTGGCTGTCCTGGAAAGCACACAAAAAACTACAGTAAATTCTCACAAACAAATATATTTTGACCACAGTTCACCGATTTATGTGCAAAGAAAGAGTGGAAAACCCCAGCTGTGGTGTGTGTGCCCAGAGGGTGGAAGCTACTTCGTAAGCAGCATACAGCTAATACCAGACGACCATGTTCCTTCTCCTGCAGAGGTTCATGTCAGAGGAGCTACTACAACTCGTTGAGATCTATTGCTCGTTGAGCAAACTATTTTGGCAGAATGCCATTAGAACAAATGATAATTCCTAACAAAAAGCAGCACCTAAAGAATACTCACTCAATGATTTGCTTAGCATCTTTCTCAGAAACTTCCTCACTGTTAGGATCCAGAAGTATCTTCTCATCTGCTTCTAACCTGCTTGATTCTTCTTCATCATCCTACCAAGACAGAAAAAGAACAGGAGCACCGGAGAGCGTAACATCGTCCTAAATCCTACCTGCAACTAGCATTCACGTATTTATTGGTAGATTTCATTGGTCAATGCTTTATAATAATAGGAATTATAACCAGTAAGTTCAACTGACACTTATCCTGCAACGACACTGCATTGCAACACAAAAAAAGATGATATTTGACATAGATTAACAAACTGGAAGTGACAATATGTCGCAGGAAAACAGAAAGTATTTTTTTTTCCTTTAATGGTTTCATTTTAAAAAACCTTATCCTAACTATCCTGTTCATGGAAAGGATTCCAATACTGTGCATATGTTTATATGATGTTCTAGAAGTGTCTTACTTTAATACAGCTTAAAAAAGTACCATGACCTGCTGGTTTAGCCTTTTCATTTATTAATTTTTTAGAAATAGACTACACCCTTACTTTCTTTTAAATAGTTTAATTCACCTTCTGGCTACAGTTGCAATACATGACAGATGGATGAATTTTGCATTTTATTGAGGGCTCTTCAACAACACCTGAACCATGTGAACCAACAACATAAATTCTCATTAATAAAGCAGAACAAAAGAGTGCTCTGACTTCTGCAGGTGCATTCTTGCCATAATGATTTCCCCAGGTCTAAAGAACACAAAGAAGTCTTTATTAAAAATGCAGAAACAAATCTTTTGACATTCCTCCTAGAATATCATAGAATGTGGTCCAAATCTGACAGGTATTATGCCTCATCCCCTACCTCAATATTGAGAGTCTTGTAGGATTATAGTGACAGCGATTAGTCCTACGCTAAGTGTCTGAATTCTACTTGTAGTTCTACAACTAGCCTATTGACTGAGGATTGTTCTTCTCTACTCCTCAGTCTTCCTCTCCTTTAGAAAGTATGCTGCTGAAAAATGCTCTGCCAGTATTGATTATTCACAGTATCTAATATTATGATCATGTAGGGTGAGAACCTTTATAATTTTTATTAGCTTCTTTTTAGAACTTCTGTAATGAAAGTATTTAAATCACTATAAAATACTGAATCAAATAAACCTAGGCTTAACAGTTTGATCCTAAGGCCCTGACATAATCCTTAACATTTCAATAAACATAATATATAAATAACAACTCTGTTTTTCAGAAGAGCCAATGAAACTCTCACTACATAAACACCTCCTACAGCCTTGAGAGGTTACACCATCCCCAATGTATCCCTAAAATATTGTACTTGTTTAATTTAAAATTCACGCAAAATGAATACATACTGGTTTGTGCCTCTATGCTCAAAGGTAAGCCAAGTTTCAATAAGCCTATTCTTGCCTTTAAGGATATCTAAGATGCAGTGATACAAGGGGAGGGGACAAATGAATGCATCTAAGTAGGTCTTATTGCATTGGCCTGTTTCACATATCTTCCTTGAAATCTCCTGTCTCTGCTGAAGAATTATTAAGAAAAAAAGCCAAACACCCTGAAAGGTCTCAAAAACTGGCACGTGTTTGGCCAAATTCAGGCCTTAGGACATGTTTGCTAACACATGATCCTGATGAATTTCTGGAATTTCTAATGAGAAACACCTGAGTTAGAATTACACTACAATCAGTAAAATTTGTCTTTTCTCATCGTCTCAATGGGCAATGCTTCAATGCTAGGACTAACAAAGTAGTATATTCTGTAGAAAAGTATTAAACAATGGATACAAGAGGCTTCCAAATAATTAAAGATATTAGCCTTCTTCAGCACAAAGCCACTATATGTCCTCTCCTGAGGTATATTTCAACATAGGAGTCTGTTTATGCACTCTGGGTCATGATTATTAATAATCAGAGTAAAACCTTTTCCCTTCCTCACTCAGGTTGCCAGTTAGGCATTTACAATATATACAAAAGGGCAGCTGCTCTATGAACTGAATAACATGACCAAAACATTTTTTTTCTTAGTATTATACTTAAAATGATTATAGACACTTGCTACTGCTTTGCTCTCCTTCCTTACGAAAAAGAGGAAAATGTCACATGGGTTAAGAACTTGTTTTTACCGGATTACCTGTCTGACACAAGGTTGGTTGGTTTGTTTTTTTAAAGAGGACACATACCTCCTCCTCATATTCAGAGCCACTTTCATCTTCACTGTCTGACCTGGGAGCAACTTCATAGCTGTACAGAGAAGATAGAAAGTATATGAATTAAGGATAGAAAAGAAGGAAGAGAGCTAGGTTCAACACACTTCCTACTCTGTTTACCCGTAACAAATTAAAAGGAGAATAGAATAGGTGAAAAAGGAAGAAGAAAAACAGAGAGAAACCCATGAAAAATAGCAATGCAAGTTTAAAAAAAGCTGCTTACTTGTAGGCTATCTGCTTACCCAGGGTTCATTTCCAGCCAGGCATCCAGCTGACTTGCTTTTGGTGCTTCTGGTCCAAGAAGAACTTTGCCTGTTTCAGTGTGAGTCACTTTGACTGGAAGGTCACTCATTTGACTGCTCTCATCTATGGGCTAACAATTAAAATGAAATGCTACAGTTTAAGAGTATTGAGCTTTTATGTTTGTCACGTGTAATAAAAAGAGCTAACAGCACCTGAAAAATTTACAAAGCTGAACAAGCTGGGAAGTTTCATTATTAGCAACCACAGCTTCCCACATGGCTATCAGCCAACACTGAATCATTGCATTTCTATGTGTAACACACATGTATCACAGTGTTGCAGATAAACACCAGAGCAGCGTGTAACTGTTGGCTTCTCTGAAAGTGGACAGAAAGTATATTATGCTTATTGTCATTTAATACATGTTGTTTATACCAACAGAGATCTGTAACAAAAAGCATACATCAAACTTATGGCCTTTTTCCTTCGCCACAGATGGCGAAATGTGGCTGTAACAATTTAACTAACATTTTAATTAAAGAAACCTTTTTAAAGGTTAGCTGTCCCAACTTCTTCATTTAAGCTGGTAACTACCTGCAATAATATGTCCCTTTAGACATTCAGGTACTCTAAAAAAAAAAAATCAGAACAGTATAACTATTTTTCTGTTACTTCTTTGGCCTGTTTAACAATGGATTTTGCACTTAAAAAACCTTCTGACTACTACTACTACTGCTACTATTACTACTACTACTAAAGAACCTTTTCATAATATATATATGAACACAAAAAACTGAAAAAATAATTCTAAACAGTTGTAAAGATGGTTACCTGCTGTGAGAGAATATAAAACTTACTTCCTTTTCATACATGATGAAGCTAAAGCAATATATGTGCATTTTCCAGGCACAACTGTAACTATAGTAAAGGTTTTGCTATACCTCTTTAACTGCATCAGCAAAGGTATCACTTGAAAGTGTAAGCAAGACCAGAAGAAAAACAATAAACACAATTTTTAAGTCTTTCAATAAAAAGAAAACTGAATAGAAAAAGGGCATAACAGGATAGATCGCTATGAGGCAGCATATGCACTTTACGTCTACTGCAAAAAGAAAAAGCTAAGTATTCAAAAACTAACAAAGGACAATTATTCATTTTCAGTGGCTTCTGAGAAAGACACATGTCTTAAGCCATCATTAATAGTATAGTCTACCCTATTTCAGAAAGAAAATTGACATGCAGCGTAAACAATCTATTTTCTAAAAATGAGATGCTAGAATATACTGTGCTTACAAGCACATTTTAGAAAGTAAATTATGAACTACACATGGATCACCAAAAAATAATTTTTTTTTTTTTTTACTTTTAAGCATCTACCAAAGCTGAGAGGGATTTCTCAGTATACTCAGTGACAGATGCAATGTACCTTTGTCTTAGTCTTCAGCTCTCTGAAGTGAAACAAGTCAGCTCAGATACTAATCCTGATAGGTTTTCTCCCGGTTATGAACATCAGGTCTTCTTAAGACATTTATGGTTGTGATTTTTTTAAAAAAGCTACAGCTATGGCACACATCACTTATAACAAGCACTAGGGGGGAAAAAAAAAATTTTAAGCAGCTTTAAAAATTCTTACCTCTCCATCAGGACCAAGACCAGATGCCATTCCTTCCGCATTTTCTTCTGCCTTCTACAACAATAAAAAATATCACAGACAGTTTATAAGTATTAAAAGGGCACTTTATTTGATGCAACCATTTTGAAGCATAAACAGGATTTCACTCCATTCCTACACAGTCTGAGACGAATGTAGTTAAAGTTGTGGGAGGCTAAAGGGAGAGAAGTGCACAGAGTTATCACTGCACACACAAAGCACATAGTAGTATTAATGAGGTACATATAACACCTACAGCCACTGTGATAAATCTGTGCCTAGGAAGTGGCTAGCCTACTGAATTTCTGGTCAGACTTGGAGCCTCAGTTCTTATACTCTGTGGTAGTACAAAAAAACCAGCAATTAATTTCAATCTGATTTACTACTAATTTCCTCTAAATTGCTTCAATCTCAGTTTCTGTGGTCTCACCAAGCATCACAGACTGTATATTTGTGCAGGCATTTTTATTTTGGATATGTACACAATTTAGCTTTGGCCTGACAACTATCTAAAAGGGGCACTTCAGGAGTTCTTTGAGCTGTATCTCAATTCCAGACTACAGTTGTTCAAGTTACAAGTTACAAACAAAAAGACCGTTGGGGCTCAGCCAACAGGAAGAGAAACGACTCAAAATGAGCTAGAAATTTTTCTTCCCAAGCACCACTCCTAGTAATAAGCAGTCTCTTTGCCAAATCCTATGCTATTTTAAAATGTCACGACAATATAAGAATAACGGAAATCATCATTTGCCTCTGAATTGCAGCTTCCCTAATGATTATGTTCATGGGCAAGAAAGGCTAGAAACCAGTTTCTGCTCCTGTCACAGCACTGGAATTGCAGTACTTTAGCATGATTTACTTTGGTTACAAATATAAATAGATCAGACTGAAAACAGGAGCAATCTTCTAAATTTCATTAGACAAAACACCTTTCAAGTATAACTAATGTGCATGAACAACTTAGATAATATAGTTTGTTATTTAGGAAGTATTCTGCAACAATAGCAGTACTTCTGAATACTAAGATGATCATTAATATCTGCTTCTGATCAACCCCTGCATCTTTGTCTTTTTCACCCAATAGCCCTTCAAATCCATTTTCAAAGGCATGAACTTCAGGTGATTGTGCAGCAATAGACTTGGGTTAATTTTACATTTTGAAAAAGTTTATCCATATTTCTTTCACAAAAACTTCATTCTTTAGGACACATAGCTAATCATTTTTTTGAGTACCTTTCCACTAGCACGACCAAAAAGGAGAATTCCAGCAAAGCATAACATATTTATGAAGTACAATTTGCCTTAGTATACATAAAATAACCTGATGGGAGAGGTTTATAAACACTATAGTATGCTACACAGATATCATAGATCCTGCTCAATGCAGGAATAGCTGGTGCTCAGTCAACATCATCATCAGTATGAGGTAGAAAGCTGCTTGCTTTAGTATTCCTCAGCAGAAAGTACATCTGCTGATGAAGAAAAGAACTGTGCCAGAACTGGAGAGCTTACACAGAGGGGCAGGATAGCACAGATCTGGCCTCAGCTGAACAGACTACATTGACTGAGGACGGTTTTTGCCTAGAAGACCAACAAGGTAGATCAGGGCCCATCCCCTCTGCAAATGAGAAAGCTCTATAACACAACAGGAGTTTATAAATACAGTCAACATAAAAATGCCTAAAATCAAACACAGCACTACGAACAAATAAGCGTTAAGGCTCAGTGCTCTTCCCTATGCAATGATCAGTTACTGCTGCTGCAAGAGGCTAAACATTTACAACCTATAACTGACAAGGATTTTGGAAAGTAGAAAGGAGGTAAAGGTAAATAATGGCAGATTCCATTACGCTAATGTTTTGCACAATGCAAAGATTTCTTTAATGGATGAGGAAGTACCAGTCTTATGAAAGTAGGAGCCTAGACTGTCTTGATGCTTAGTGAAATGACAAGAAAAACTCTTAAAAGCTGAAAGGTTGCACAGCAAGTTAAATTGGTCTATCAGTTGAAAATGTAATTTGGTGTACTTTTTCCCATTCATGAGTTATGAGTGCAACAAAGATATGGGAGACTAGCTGAACAGGAAGCCTGAGACAGAACTGCAGGCACATGAGGATAATTTAAGAGGGGAAAATCTAACACCAAGATTCCCCAAACTTCATCCAAAAGCAAAAATTTACTCTTCCAAAATTCTGAACAACATAGGGTTCACTTGTTAATTATACAATGTAAGCCTGGTAAAGAAGAGAAGTACTTCTTCATCTTCCACTTTTCCATTGCCCTTCCTGGGAGGAAATCCTATAAACCTTCTTCTCTCACTTCTCTTTAAGAATGAAACAGGTAACTATGTTTGTCAGTAGATTAAACTGAACTTTACAAGGATTACAGAGCATAAAAGAGTAAGTATCCTAAGTAAGTATCCAAAGTGTATGACTAAGAAGAAAGACACAGTGTCCACTTCCTTAAGTGAGTGCTGCAGCCATACAACAACTAATCCATTAAATTATAAAAAACAGCAATAACAACAAAAAAACTACAGAGATCAATATTTGTGTGCACTCTTATCTCCCTAACAAACGAGTAAAAATCACTTGAGCAGAAAAAAAGTAAAAATCAACAAGCTGCAGAGGATTAAGACAAGGTTCAGATTTTTTTCTGCTGATATTCCTTTACGTTTTAGGCTGGGAAGAGTACCTAGCACTAGGTATTAATGGGGCACAGTTTACTTCTTACTTCCGTGACAGAAAGTTACGCATTTATTGACATTTCCAGAAGATGGTTCAGTCCTCATACACTCTTCAGTGACAAAGACATAGGTCCCTATCACAAAGGATTGTCAAGGAGAACAAACATTTTATTATAGAAGTATATCTACTCCACATGCTGTCTCATTAAGGATTGTCTCTACTCTTAATTCAGTACATTAGCATCAGGTCTGTTCTTAATGATAACATAGGTCAAGAACACTGTGCAAGTTATAGGCAGTAGACTGTTTCTGCGTTAAGAACATACTCTCAGCAAAAGGTACAGAAGTCTCAGAGATGGATGAGGGGAAAAGGGAATTTTTTTTGGTCATTCATCTCAAACTTATCATTTTTTTATATGCTGTTAAATTTATTACCACCCCTAGAGTACTGCTTGTAAACAATGTAGACATCATGTTTGCATTTATATCAGTAATATTTCATACCACACAAACCACAGACGGAAATGGATTATAAAAGTCCTCTTATCCATCCTCCTAGACATGCAAGGTACTCAGGGGTCACAAAAATGAAAAATTGCCACTTCATACATAGAAGTCGTTTTTCATAAGGCTCTTTGGTTTCCACAACCAGTCATTCTGACATGGTAAAATAATTTCATACAAACAAAGGTAATTTTCAAAAGTTTCAAATTGAATGGTAAAAATTAACACAACAATCTATGCTATATGCAGAATACCCATATATTAAATATAAACCTATCCAAGTTCTTTATGGACAGCCGTTTCCAGTGGTACCACAAAATGGACTGAACTGAGTTTAGAATCTGGAGGCCCAAGGAAGCCACCCTCTATGTACCAACTGCAAAAAATAGCTGATATGATCTTCTCGATATAACATATTTTGGATCTTTATATTTTATTTCTAATTGACATGTCTAACCCATTTTTGCCTCTGGAAAGTCTATCATTAAATCAAATGTTAACAGTCCACAATTTTCTACTCCTGCCTCCTTCCTGTCCTCTTTGGAATTAACATTAGCAGATTTCTCAGTGATTTCAATGGAAGAAGATGAATTCACCTAGTGTTAAGAATCTGGTAGCGTAGATGACTTGAGGCATTCTGCCATCTGTGTGACAACTGGATATCACTACGTTTACCAAAGATTTGTAGGCCTAAAATTGTCAGCTGTAACTACTTGCCTTCTTTCTTCTCCTCCTCTTCTTCTTCTCTTTGGCTTTCTGTGCCTGTTTATGCTCCCAAACCAGATTAGTCAGGTTAGCCACATATTCATCTGTTTGCTGCAACAGGTAAGCCAGGCGTCTATCTTTCTTTTGGTCAATCAGTTTACGGTACCCTTCTTCATCTTCAGCCTAGCAACAAAAACAAACATCAGTCATGACAGAAATGCTTCAGAAGAAACGCCTGAAACTCCACTCTCAACAACCATGTCACCTTAGCTGCGATGTTGTGAACTAGGTGGGAAGAAAAATAGACTGGCAAAAAAACAGATGGAAGATCAGTCCCAGGGGGTCATACACTTGTGTTAATGGGTTGTACCTTACCTGGAGGCTGAAAGCTGCAAGTGGGGTACCACAGGGATCTATCCTGGGACCTGTCCTGTTTAACATCTCTATCAGTGACCCAGAAAGAAGGGACAGAGAGTACTCTTGCTAAGTATGCAGATTACACAAAATGAGGCGGGGGACCAGTCAATTTGCTCAAGTATATGACTGCCAAGAAAGACCTGGACAGGCAGGTTGATTGAGCCAATAGGAACATGACAAAATTCAGCAAAGACAAAGACAAACACAGAGACCTGGAAAAGAAGAGTCCCTGGCATACAGGGATACAGGCTGGTGAACACTTCAGTTCAAAAAGTACCTGGGGGCCCATTTAGGCTAAATGTGAGCCAGCAGTGTGCTCAGCAGCTGCCCAACAGTGCTGGGGCCATCAACAAACTGCAGTGAGCTCAGTGGAAGGTCACCCAGACAGTCAGGGGCAGGCCCTGTAAACAAATCCTGAAGGATCTGGGCTTGTTAAGCCTAAAAAAGAGGGAGCTTCGTGGGGACCTAACAACAGTCCCCCAGTAGGTATGTGGAGGTTATTGAGAAAACAGAGCCAGATTCTCCACAGCAGTGCTTTGCAGGACGATGAGAGACATCAGGTGCAAGCTGAAGTAACAGAAGCTCAGTCTCAATATCAGAAGCCTTTTCCCCAGCGAGGCAGCGGAACAGGGGCTGAGGGAAGTTGTGCTGTTTCCGTGGTTCTGTGATTTTCAAGACCCAACTGAACAAAGCCTTGAGCAACCTGGTCTGTCCTCATTACTGTTTCTGCTTTGGGCAGGAGGCTAGACCTGAGTTCCCTGCCAGCCTGAGTGCCTCGGGGATCCAGAGATTCTATGATTCTAAAGATCTCCGGGAAATTCTACAACAGTTATGAGAGGGAATGCAAATAAATATTTACTTTCAAAAAGACAGCACACTAGAAGATACAATCTCCTGCCTTTCTGGAGACATACCAGAAACGCACTTAGTTGGCAAGAGCTGCTGTAACGTTCAAATCAGCCTGTAAAATTCAGTTTGTAAAATTCAGCTGTAATGCTTAAGACTTCAGAATTACAATGCTCAAAAAGTAAGCTTTTATAACTATTATTATTATTGCTGAACGCAGAATCATTGTACTCTAGCCAAGGTACTTCCCTTTACACATTCTAGCTTGTCCTGATAGTACCTTTTTAAAGCATACCAATTAAGGCTCTTCCATGTGATTGTGATACATACTAGTATTAACGAGCTGTGACAGAATCACCATTTCTGATCCTAGTCAATGAAAGACAATCTGTACAATGAATTCAATGCTGCTGAAAAGTTAGATATGCCAAGAGAATTTTAGACACAGCACAGTTTCCTAGACCAGGCCAAAAGTCTGAGCAGAGATGATGTTTTAAAAACTTCTGGTATATACCTCCAAATTAAAAATATGGCACAACCGGACCGAAATTAAGTAAGTGAAATAACCCCACTAGCATAATATGCACAATGTTTTTGCAGAAGAATATAACTGAGCATTTTGGCCAAGAACAACTGATTGCAAAACCCCAAACTAAAAATGCCTACAAAGTGCTGTATCTATGGCAAGAGCTTAGTCACAGGCCTTGGTTAGGGGGTTTTAGGAGGAAGCATTAGTAACAGTACTCTGCACCATTTCTGGACATGCAAATTCACCTCATTTTTTTTCAGCTGTGGACGTCTTTATCATATATTATATCAAATATTTTGGAGTGACCTAAGCTCATTAGCCTCACAACGCACAAAAATAGTCTTAAAAAAATTAAGATAATCTTTTTTTTGTTTATTCGTGTTTCAAACAGCTCTTTTCTCTAGCAATTGATTGTAATAGCTTGAGCAGATAGAGTGCTGGCAATTCTAACTACAAAAAATCTCTATAATACAGGTTTAGTATATAACCTTGAGAAAGGCCCTAGGGTCTAAACATTTGTTTTTCTCCTATGTGAGCCTTTCATCTACATTTTATATGCATTTCTAAACTTTTAGTTACTTTAAAATCTAGTCACTTCCATATTTTATTTTGCACTTTTTAAAACCAAGCTGTTCAGTCCTTAGGAGTAGACAGGAGTAGATCTGGACAAGGACTGAAGTTTTGTGCTCCAGCTGCACCCACCTTGCATTCTTGATTGTTTTTTACTAGCATTGTGCTTCAGAGAAAACATATCAATCATCAATCAATTCTATTGTGGTGTCAGTAAAATGCTGACTGAGGATCTCTATCTTCCCTGTCACCTATTGTTTGTAGATTCCAGATGTTGAAAGAACAAAAAAAAAAGTGTTAAAAAGAGCTAACCAACCTCTTACCGAAGTTTTTCCAACCATTGCTGCTAACATAGTTGCACATACAAATTCCTCTGTCTACACTTAAAATTCTGAAACTATTTTTACTCCAGAAATGTATGCAGTCCACTGATCAATTCCATAGCACTTATGTACACGGTTGTACATAAAACCATTCTGTCTTAAGAAGGATGCATCTGATATTGTGCAAGTGCAAGGAGGGGAAAAATATGAAGTAATAGCAGCAAGGAGGAGTACGGTCATGTGGCATTAATGGGTAGAGCTGACTGTCATTAATTCCCAAGCTACATGCATTTACTGCTGTTGGTTATGTGCGCTTGCACATGAAATCAGTTTCACGTAAAGCCTACTAAGTAATGCCATTAACAAGCTGATCACATGTAGTCTTAAAAACTATAAAACCTAGAAGTAAAATAGAGTATGTGTATGATGAACAAACATCCTTACACTTCTGTAAAAATGGTAATATATGAAGTTAAAGAGCTTAAGTGATGTTATACAAAAAAGGCCGTGGTAAGTTTTTAAGTTGGTAGATAAAACAACTATCCTCTTATCAGAAAACCTAGAAAAAGAAGCAGCTATGGCTTAAACTGAACACAATCACATTCACTACCAACATAGAAATATACACATCCAAACTGCAGCAATTTCAGATTTATATTTTTTGCGTTACAGAGGCTTTACTCTGCAAAGGAAATAAACAGGCATCTGAGAGCCTACATAAAATATTAAAAGGACATAACATGCAATTTTAACTAAATTAGCGACACCCCTCCCTCCACTCCTTACCATCAGTCTTCTCATTCTTTCTTTCTCAATTCTCTCTGTTTCCTTTTTCTGCTCACGCTCAGTGTTGGCATGCCAAGTTGCCACGGCTTTAGAAAGTTTCTGAATTTTCCCAGCCACTGACCGATGGTACTCTTTAAAATCTTTAGCATGCTGTAATATGCTGTTCAGGTATTCCTAGAAAAAGAAAACAATTTAGTGCAGACACTTGACAAAGCATAGGATTTGAAATGAGGAACACCCAGGTTCGGATCTTAGAGTGTTCTGACTGCTTATTATGTGATTTGGGGTTTTTTGTACCTTAGAAACTCCAAAGGTGATAAAATATATTGTAGTGAAGACTGGCACAGCAAAACAAGGCACACTTCTGTGACGGGGCAAACAGCTAACATATTAAAATACCTGATGCTTCTGTCTACGCTTTCTCTCCTGTTCTATCTTCTGCTGTTTCTCAAGTTTTTCGGTCATACGGGCTTCCCTCAGAGTCTGGCGCTTGCTTCGTTTGTAGGCTTTGGAGTTCAGTGCTGTCTCCAGTGTTGTGTCACGACGCATGCAAGCTACCACCTCTTGTCTTAGCTACCAGCGAGAAAAAGAACCACTTAAAAAAAAAACTGTAATACATGGAAAAACAAGTTTAATCAGTAATATGATAGAGTACAATGGTAACAGTCCAAAAGACGTCCCAGTTTCCTCTTCCCTTTCCATTGCAGCTCTGAAAATATGTATCCCACAACTTCAGAGCTGCAACAGATAGGTCTGCCTCCCTAAATAAAACTTAAGTCTCTAAAAGATGGCCAATCACTGCAGGTACATCGTGTCTTCTTTCCTCACAAGATACTGCTGAAAATGACCGTTCTGCTGAAATATAAAGCATAGCCAAGATTTTACACCATCCAGGTAAAGAAGAACAACTAATACAACATACTTTTCTAGAGCTGGTGCTGAACATAGCTGACAACCATTTTCACTGTCTGCTGCATAAGAGACAGCAGAGAGCAGGAAATGGTAAAGGCTTGAACAGTACAGCTAGACTCTCTGCAGCGCAGCAGTGGAGCCTGACACTTTTCATCTGACCTTTGACAAAACCTCATTACAAAAGAGTGTCAGGTCAGTGAGAAGGAAGACTTAGACAGCATGGTACAACTGATGCCAAAGACTTCTGTCAGGAACTATTTTGCCTGACCTGCCAAATCACGTCTTCGCTCTTCCAAACTAGATAAGGAAGCCAATTGCAAGGGGCCCATAAGCGTCTGGCACTATATTCCCCTTTCTGAAATTCATACGTTTATGCATATACTCATGATCCAACTTTTATCTTAGATATGATCTTGTTAAGCCTAATTTTCAAAATCTGTGCGTCGCAGCGGAATTTCTGAAAACAGATCACACAGAAATAAGACAAACAACAAGAGCGTACACCTGTTTCAAAACAAGGGGACCCATGACAAATAAAAAGAATGTCCAGAAAGAGATATATTTTGTCCTTTGTGTTGAAAATTGGCTTGCAGCCTGTCCTGCTGTTCTCTTTGTGTCACTGCCATTATCTGTATGAAAGATATAACTCCAGGGTTACACCTTAGACTGGAGGACAAAGCAGGAGGAAGAGAGAACCCTTACATATTTCCAAAAAGTAAACAAAATGAAAACTAAGTTACACAGTAAGTTCTCTAAAATGCTTCTTATCATCAAGTTTGCTCTCATGCAAAAAATTCCTGCTTAGGTTCACTACTGCGGTAAAATTTCTTGCCAATTCATCCCACGACACATCATCATATTTGGCAATAAGAACTTCCCTGAAGCAAAAGGCATTACCTGGCGCTGGAAATTCAGTAACCTAAGTGCCTTCAACTCCACTGTAGCTTTGGTACGCAGATCAGGAGGCAAAGAGCCAGGTAAGTTCTCCAGTTCCTGAATTCTGTGAGCAATTCGAGCCTGAAGCCTAAATAAACACAGCATCAGAAAAGATAGCAGAAGAAATCTGTGAGAGGTTATCAAACTCATACAGTAAAAACAGGCAATTTATCTCAGCTATTTATTTGACTGCTACTACTTTTTCCTTGAATTAACAGGCTTTTGCAGTGATGGAGATGAAATTAGATGTCCTTTGTCATTTACAGAATAAATTGCCAAATAACGAAAACTTTCATCTGCCCCCTCTGAATTTTGGCTAAACTCATGTGTGAAAAGAAGCTGGGAATTTTATTTTATTTTAGAATTCTGGCTTTAAGCTTCTTTGATGAGTATTCTTTTAGGTACAGCGTAGTCAGTCACCAAGCACAAATGGAACTTTCTTACACAGCAAATCCCTTCCCTCTTAACACTGAGAATTCTACCTGCTTATTTTATTGACAAATTAGAAGTTTGTTAAGAAAATGCTAGCATTTGCATAGCCATTAAACTGTAAATCAGATCTACTTCACTCTTCTTTTACAGAATCCTTAACTGAATCCATTCAAATTCAAAACAGGAACGCACAAGCGAGAAAAAATATTGTTTTACTTTTCACACTGAAAACTAAGATCATAGAGCTAGAAATTACATGGTTTTTGTAAGCACTTCTAATTTACAAATAAGTACTCTTGTGAACTGCAAATTTTGCTACAGCGTTAAGACAGACTCACATATTTTAAGTTACCCAAAAGCTGCATATCAGTTCAACTGAATCAGTCCCTCCATTTCCCCCATGCTTTAATCCTAAAAGAGGGAGGAGACTCGTCTCTCCCCGCATGCTAAAAACCTAAACGCACAAGAATGGGAAGATAGCTCTATCTCCCTAAGCTGTCTATGACTCACAAAGTCTCCATTTTTACTTTCACAAAGCACAGAACATCAGATCATGTTAGGAACACGTGTCTGCTGCTGTTCTTCTGTGTTAAGAACTTTGAAACTAGCCTAAAGGCAGACAAAATTTCCGCTGGGCTTCTTGGCGTACAGCGATCATTCTTCCTCCATACTTCCCCAGCCCTTTCCCTCGTACATCACCCATAGAATTATAAAAAAAATAGGAACAGATTTGGCAGTTTTATTTCAGACTTTCTCAGAACTATTAATTATATTTTCTTGAGTAGTAATAGGATTTTTAAAAGAATTTCATGACAGATACCCCATTCCAAGTGAATGCAATAACTACTTAAGGCATTCTAAAACTACAGTCGCCTTCTAATCTTTAAAGACAATGATTACAACTTGTTGGACTATTCCTGTCTTCATGGAAAAATACTAATAGCTATTATGTAAATCACAACAGAATCCAAGGAAAAAAGTTTTCTAGATGCCTTTTACAAGCACTTGAAGGATATAATGTATCCCTGCTTAAAAGATACATTTAATTAATCTGTGCAGTTCAGCAGTTTATCTTCACCCATGCAGAAAGTAGCTAGTGCACTTCTAGCTGAAGAGATAGATCTCTGCAAAATAAGTGATATACACCTCCTCCTTATTAACTGGGACCAACTACATAGGTTATGCTTGCTTATTTATTACTTTTATAGCACAGACACCATGCAGTAAACAATGAACCTATACAAAAGGAGACTTCTGAGATAACAAAAAGAAACCACTGACATTCTACAGGACACTGGTAACTGCATTTTTTTTCAATTACTGTTGAGAAGGTGGGAAAAACCTTGCCGCATAACGGAATGACTTAAAATTATACTGTACACTATTAGATTTTGGAGACTTAATAAGATTAAAAAGCAGCACTTTATTTTCAAGAAAGTGTTAAGGAGAGTTTTATAAAAGTAAAATGGTATAAATTTATCACTTGGGTCAGGGTTCAAGAAGCACAGGAAGTTTAACAGTTATCCACATATAAATAATTAAAAATTCTTAAAGCAGTAGAAATTTTAAATATACAAGCTTTCTTCACCTACCATTAGTCACATAGGGATGAACAACAATTAGCATATAATTCCACCCTAAAGCTTAAACATATGCTGCAGAAACCTGCTAGGCAAAACCATGTGATTTTGACAGCAATACTAACTCTCAGTTTACTTTCTCTATGTTAATTTATGCTAAAGCCCTTTTTACAATCAGAGCAAGGCTTTTCAGGGATGTGTCATCAGAATCAAAACTTTTTCAGAGCAAGCTGTACGTTAATTAGGTCCATTACTGCTTGGTCGTATGTAGTGGTCTTTTTAACAGATGGTTAAGAATGCTATACTGTACCTTTACATGCCTATTTGATGAATTGTCAGACAAACTACATAACTTCCTGGTAACAAGGAAGTGTAAGCAAAAAGGAATGTGCAGGCTCTTTCCTCCCGCTAATAGCATGTAGAAACATATTGTAAGTGCAAGTCAAGTTCCTTCTCACCTGCACTTCTCAAAGGCAATTGTGTAATAGCCCTGTTGATGGGAGAGGAAAGGAGCGGTTTTCACTTATAACCTCAGAAAAGTATAAGAAATGTTATGCCCTGTATGTTGTCATGAATATAATTCATCATCTTTTAATTATGACACTTAGGATAAAACTTTTAAAGATCATGCTTCCTGGTAACTTCCAATCTTGGCCTTGACTTCCTCAATGTTCTCTATTCTTTGGTAGTCCAGCCAACCTGTGATCATCACACAAAATTCATTTTTCCTTTGGCTACTAGCTCATCAGCCTTTTGACTTTCACTTTCCTTCTGATTTTCTTTTTGTGTTTTTAATTTTGAAAAGTTTTTGCTCTAAAGGGGTTTCCATGTAGATTAAAAGGATTTTGGTTTCCTAATTTTTACTTTTTGCAGCAATATACTAATCCAGGAAAATCTTTCAATCTGTTTAAAACTTAAGCCTGTTTGCAATGATACTGCCAATATGCTTTGCTAGTTCATAATGTGGGCTGGAAATAAAATATGGTTTACAGCTTGATGTTTTTGCACTTCTTCACACGGTCTCTCTCTGGAAACTACTTAAACTGTGGTTACTGCAATAATATATTTGATTGCAAAGAACATCAGCAGAGAAGTGAAAAAAAACAATGCATAAGCATTTGAACTTTTTTATTTTGCTTTTACCTATATTCACGTTCTTGGAGTATTTCAACAGGATCCAGTCCTTGTGGCTTCTGGATAGGGCTAATACGATTCTGTTTTTGCTGCAGTTGAACAATGGGTGAAGGCTGGCCAGGCGGAGGCTGTGGTACAGAAGGCCCAGGCATAGCAGCAGCAGGCTGGGCAGCAGGGGGGGCAGGAGAAGGCCTCCCACTAGGAGGTGGTACAGCAAGCTTCTGTGGTGTACTGGAAACACTCATATCCGGAGCTTGGCCTGGATCAGAAAAACAGTACTTATTTCATAACATGAAATATGAAACACAATAAGAAATTCAAGGTGGCTTTTGAAGACAGAACATGAAGCTAAGACAAACATACAAAATTACCAGGAAAAAAAACATATACATACACACACACACAGAGATAGACTTCACTTTCTATTAAAAAACTTCTAAAATAGACATTGCAGGAAGTCGTCCAAAGAAAATAAAAGCATCTGAAACTTTATAACGAATGCCATTTTTTTCCATTCTCACTACCTTTCTATGAGAAGTTGTTTATATAAAAAAAAAAAAAAAGTAAAACAGCTCTAGAACTTATTTCACATGAGCACAGGACATAATTTTGCATCTTGTTCATTGTACTCCCACCACTTAAAAGAACACATCTACAATCACAACCTGACAACGAGCATGAGTATCTCTGGTTTTAGAGCTCTGTGAGAACCAGACAGACATACTAAAATTCTACAGTTGTACTTAGAAGTACTTGTCAAATAGAAATAGCCTCTTTTTTGCTCCCAACTCCCAATTAATTGTATTGAAATATTTCAAATACCAGGCTTTTGATTAGTCTTGTGTCTTTCTAATCACTTTGAAAATAAATTATCAGTTAACAAGAATATAGCATCTGCCAGTTAGAGAAGCCAAGGGTCACAATTTTCAGCATGCCACCAAGTCAGTGAGGCATCCATGCATACAGATGTGGAAGAAAACTGACAAGCAGAACAAAAGACACTGCAACAAAAAAGATATCACTTAATTGTCTAAGGAGTCAAAATAGCTCAATATTAGGAAAAACAACTACCAAGTATGCCTGCAATCTCATCAATAACTTTACTTCAAGTCCAACATCCTGGAATCTAGCTCTAAAGATGCCCGGTGTTCAGAAACCACCATTTGTCAATTCATGAATCTGCACTGAACTACAGAAGAAGAACCATAAGCACAAGTTTTGAATTCTGTGTTTAACAATACTGCATTACAGGTTACAAAAAAAGAAAAAGAAATATAGCCCACCAAAAGACCCTATGTAGTCCTAAATTTCCAGAAATCATTCAAATTGTCCTAGAAGACCAACACTATGAAGAAAAACTTCAAAATGAAAGAAAATAAAGATATCAGCAGAGTCTTTTAAAAAAATACACCAAATAAAACCTCCAAAAACATATAGCAGAGACAGATAAATTCTCCTATCAAAAAAGCAATGAAAAAAAGACAAACAATAAGCTGCTTATAGTGGAACACAACAGACATATTATTGGATCTTAATGGATTATTCAAATAAAACCATCCATCTACTAATTCCATACACTTGCCAGCATTTCCTAGTTGCAGCATTTGAGCCAGGAGACACCAGGGCCAGTAAACTCACACATACAATATCTCAAGAGACACTTCTTCCTTCTTCATTATCCTACTCAAATGGTAACCACTGCTGGAGTACTACAAGAAATGCAGCTCTATAACTGATCACATACCAGTATTTTATTTTCTTTTTATGTTGCTGTAAATTGCTGACTAACGACAGAGAATTTTATGACATCAACTATCATAGAACGGTCATTGTTTCAGGACTTACCCACAAGCATTAATACAGCGTAATATCTCTACAGTAGGAGCGGCCTGCACTATTTGCCAGCGGGCAATATTGTATCTATTTTTAAATGGCTCTAAAGAAAAAGAAAACACTTCACACAAAAGGTGTATTATTAGAGATTCCAAATTCCTTTCAATAAAATCCTTCTTTTGTTGTTTTCAAATAACAATATTAGCATGGGCAATCTGATTCAAAAAATTATTATCAAGGAAGGAAAAAAAGTTACACTGCTCATTAGACCTCAAAAACTACACTGTGCTTTCAAAGGCAGGCCAATAAAAACAGTCGCATTCTACCAGGCTATGAACATTTTTTGTTTGCAACAGAGTAAAGAATATAGTGGAAACACAGGCTTGCTGCAATTAAGCATGCTCAGAACATAATTTATTTAATTGACTTTATGGGTGTCCCTCAGCCAGCTTATGTACTTCATTCTGATTGTAGAGAGGTGCTTCATGTTCAGGCTGCTTAACAACTGCAATAATTTCATCTGGTCCAGTCATTCATGGCTGAATAAATGGTAAGCCACTCCTCGATATTTAAGTCCTAGGCAAAGTAAAGGTCACACTACTCCTTCTGTATGCCTTTTTACTTCCCCAGTCTTTTTCCTACCTCTTTTTCCCAGTCCCTACCCACACAGTTTATCCATAACTCTAAGTATGATATAAAATTAGCATTATACTCCCCTCTACCTTCCGTCCAAGTTTTAGGGGTAATGGCAGCTGTATGTCCAGGTATTCCTGGAGCAGGCCCTGGCCCAGTTACAGGACCACTTATTGCATGTAACCCAATACCTGCAATTTGACAGAGGAAAGAAACTTATTAAGATACAAAGCATTTCTAAATATACAAAAATCACTCTCCTTTCCAGCATGCTAGTCTATCTAGGCAAATAATACTTTTGTGCATTAAGTACGGATTTAAGTGGATTCTACTGTCAAAAATAAATGTAATGAGGTATATTAAAATACTATCTTCTAAAAAAGCCCCTCTACTTGGTAGCAAAGCCATGTGCACTGAAACAAAGTGACCAGTGGAGTTATTAAAACCATTATTAAGAAGAAAATAGAATCGCCTTAACCCTCAATTTCTAATGCTAACTCAGTAATGGAAGTGTTCAGAAAATACAATAGGTGCAGAGTGTTTAATATAATGCAGTTTTCTTAAGACCAGAATGTGCTTCCTTACTATACTATAACATCTCTTATCATCAGGAGAAACAGAAGGAAAAGAAAAAATATTCTTACTATGTTATGCACTTGACAGCACACTGTACCTAGTTTGCTTTACTTTCCACAACCTACATAATCAGTCAACTTGCTCCAGATTTCATATCCATTTTTCTGCGACAGCAGACTGAAAATTCACTCCAAGAAAAGCAGTAAAATTGTGAGAGGTAAAGTACGATTAACACTAAAAAAAAAAGTCAGGCATAATCGGGGGGATAGAGTCTATCACAGTAAGATCACTTTTATTTCAATTTCGACACTATCCTATTAATAATATACTTGTTTTATGCATTTGATCAAGCTTAAAAATCAAAGGCTACTGTTTACACAGATGCCAGAATACAGTCTCAAATTATGTCCTCGCACACCACACATTTCTGTAATTTTTTCAAAGGTAGAACTTGAAGAATTACCTGGACAATGACACAGTGCCTAATACCTGGGCAATGACCAGGGTCCTCTTTCCTTGAACAGCAAGTTGGAGGTTTTCTGGTAAAGGCTGACCTCTAGCTAACATTTTGTAGGCTAGAATCTGAGCTCGGAGCTGATGTAGCTGTACAGGGCTGAAAGGGGAAGGACCTCTGTTAGGTTGACTCATAACTTGTGGGTCTCCTGGCATAATGGGTCCTGGCTGACTGGGAGTCATCTGTGGTGGAGTTGGACCTCCTCCAGACATCGGACTGGACACATGCTCTGGGGCTCCTAGTGGAGATGGGTGTGGAGACATATAACCTAGAACAGACAAGAGGATCACAAACTTAACTTCATGGTTAGTCAAATCTAAATTCTGTTAAATTTCTTAACAGAACCTGCAGTATAAAAATGTCTCTCAACTTAGGATAGCTGTAGTATTTTCTGCAAGAATAGTAGCATAATCTAAATTCTCTGGAATATTAAGATAGCCACATGAGCTATTATTTGTGCAGAACTACGATTATACAGTCTAATAATTTCTACAAATAACAACTGCTATCACATTTAGAAGATAAACTAAATCATGAAGTACGGCACCCACAAATACCAGGATGGGGTATTAGGTCACTAGCGTATCGGATAAACACTTCATGCTGAAACACATGCAATGAAGTCTGCCTATTTTAGAGCTTAATATTATGCCTTTATTTTGATGTACACACATCAAGGAACACCCATTCATTCATAGCAGCCCTCTTTGCCAATAATCTCCAACTCACAGAAATGGAAGCAGACACTACTCAATTTGTATTTTTGTACAGTGGCTCTAACTTATGTGGATTAAAGCTCTGAGTCAGACAAAAAACATTCAACATCTTTCATGACCTGAGTGCTCAAGAACATTGAATTTCAACTGTGAGCAAAAAATCATCTTCTGAAGATGCTGCTGAAGACTGTGGCACGCTACAAAGTTCCAGGAGAAAAAGCACAATTCTGAAGTGAGTAGTACTTGTACTCTATTACAACTCTTGCCAAGGCAGAGCTTTTAGGCTTGAATTTTAATTCCACTTAAGATAGATTTGCTGCAGCTTCACAACACACCCATGGAAAGAGATGGTACAGAATTTCAGGTGAGATATCCAAGACTACATAGTGTGTCACAGAAAAAATACAAAAAGTGATCCTTTAGGTAATGTAACTCATATAGCTATTTCAAGGACTTCCACTGTGAGAAAGAGGTAATTTAACTGTGTTGTATTGTAGAGCACTATTAATACTTGTATCAATTTGATAAGCCTAACAAAAGAAAAAATCTTCTAGCTCCTTTCCACGCTCCTTACACGCTCGTAGGTCACAAAACTCAAAAGTTCATGCCAACATCCTGAGTTCTGTAGCACCAGATCTACCCTTCCTCCACTGATCTGACACTCGGAAGTGAAACTACACCAAATCCTTGTATACAGAGTGGCTCACAGAAGCAAGTAATTTTACTGTCTTATTTTCACTGTTCTCCTTGGTCTTCCAGTACATGCAATATGGGCAAAATCTAGGAGTAGTTTCAACTTTGTTTTGTGAATACCAGTATTTTTAAGTTCCTAGAATTTACAGAAGAGGAGAGATGAGAGCACTAAAGGACTGGGAGTCCAGTAACGCTGGGGCCTAGGGATAAATACATTCTACAATAAACTAAAGGATGTAAATGTCTGAGATAAAGGAAAAAAAATACAAGATTTCAGTTCTTCTAAAAAAGAAAAATGAAA